ATTTAAAGGGAGCTTCAATGCAAACTCTTCTCACCTAGGCATATAGTATAGAACAGATTTGGAGGGTGGTCTTGTCCTGGCGGCGCTCATTGGGGAGGGGTCCAAGGCTCTTTCCAACTCCTTTCTGAAGACACGATGGGGCCCAGAAATAGTGGGGGGCTGGCTCCTGCCACACAAAGCTCCTTCCATAGACATAGTGAGCAGGACTCTTCCTGCCTGACTCCTTATCATCGAAGCAAGAATGCAACCTGCTTATATCCTAGCTGACTAGGGATGGGTGCTTTATGAGGAATTAAGGGTGTCGGCAGGCTGCTGCGCGCAATCACGCATGTTTCTTTCGGGCTTGCTGCTGCTGGCGGGCGCTCTGCGCGCCACCGGTCTGTCAGGCTCGGAAGCCTAGGGTTTGGACACACGGCCCAAAGCTTGCAGAAAGGGAGCAACTGAAGCCAAGTCAAGCAAGCAACTTCAAGCAACCGTACACCGCAAAAGAACATTGACAGCCCTAAAGCGCATGGCGCCGGCGTGCCCTGGGTCTCCACCACACGGCGATGTGCCAGACGACGCTTTGCCAGCGAGGCTTCAGGGATTGGGCAGTAGCAGGCAGGCAGAGGGAAGGGATGTGGATGCAACACCAGGGTTGTTACCACTATCTCGAGACACATCACCCAGTGCATCGGCACGCTGCGGCACCAGCCGAAAAGCGCTGCGGCTGGCGGTGTTTGCTGGCTTGGCCTTCGCCCTCCTCGACGGCTTTTCCGGGCTTGTTTGGCTCGTCTTCCTCCGCCGAAGCGCTCTGGTCCTGATTGCTCGCCAGGCCGCTTGCATTCTTGAGACGGGCGTGCAAGCAATCGAGGTCGCGCAGATTTGCAGCCTTGGCCGCTACCCACGACCCCACCCCAATTCAGAATACTCCAGTTGATGTCGGCCAGGGCGCTGAACAGCCACGCCATGGTAGTTCTTCCAATGTCTACCCCCATTTGTTCGCACATGAGCAGCCCGCTGGCTGCCCAAAACTAGTTTCACACACGCCTCTTCTTGCAATTATCTTTTGCAGCCGCGGACCCTCTCGACTATCAACCCCTCGGCATTGACAACTTGCACCTGTCTTGGCAAGCTCATTGTCGCCGGCCCTGTCGGTACACGGCACTCGTTCGTGACGAGCTCTGCGGCTGCAACTCTGCCGCTGCTTTTCTGAAAGCCCCGCTGCCGATGGACGTAAGAGAGGCCACGCCCCCCGAACGCCAGGACGATGTTGCTGGCCAGCTTCTGGTTGGCGCCGGTCAGCTCCCTGATCAGCTGCGCGTCGTTAGGGACACACTTGCTCGGACTCGGTCCGCCATGACATACTCTGGGGCAGGGTCCCCCGCCTCGTCCGCAACCCAAAGGCCGATGGCTGCCATGACGGCTGGGTATCAGCTCTGGCCCTGCTCAGCAGAACATTTGAGTTCGCCCCTTGATCTCGCTCTCGACACAGTATGGCCTCTGCAGCCTAAAGACACAGGCGCAGCTGACACTCTTTTTTTTTTTTGGCGGACCTTTTCTCCATCGCCCGAAGGTCCTTGGAGATGTTTTACAACACGGTCCCAGGCTAGACTCATGTTCCCATGTCTCTCACAGTATCACAGGATTTCACAGCAGCCAGTGCTCAAGGCTAGTTTGTTTCCCTTCCAAGGTCCTAGGCCCCCTCACAGTAGCACCCTCAGTAGGCGAAGAAGATAGCGCGGAGCTTGTTCCAGTCGAGCCACCGGCATGGTCAGCCGCAACGTGGGCAGTGGTAGCATCGACGACACTCAGAGTTCCCTCACCCTCGCCAGCAGCTGACACTCTGGGTTCCAGGCTTCTGCATCACTGTCCCCTTCAAAGATGCGGGCGCGCTCCAAAAGTAGTCCTGACCTGGCAAGTTCGGCCTTCCGAATTGACTGGCTGTAGCGCAAACGGAGCGTCACATCGCCGCTCGAGCAGATTCACGTGGCGCAGCATGTTCAAGGGCCCCGGCATTTCCAACGGTGAGGCCGTGTTCTGTCAGCCGGCCAGAAGTTTGAGAGCACACTGCCTGTCAATTTCGGTCGATGACCAGTCACACTGCTGCGGAGAGACGCTCTCAGCGTTGACGTTTTGGTTGTAAGCCGCGCAGAGCTGAATTGCGGAGGGCCTAGAAGTGGAAGCCTGGCAGCCACACGCGGCTAAAGAAGCTGGCCACTTGTCCTCCGTCACGGCCACCAACTGAAACAATAACACCGCATCCGTGGCGTGGACAACAACATGGCTCTTTCCAGGCGCATGGTCAACAATGACCTCCACATGAACTTGTTCACCAACAGCACGAGGTCTCTTTCCAGGCGCATTGTCAACAATGACCTCCACATGAACTTGTTCACCAACAGCGCGAGGTTGAGGAAGCGAAGCCACCCTCCGAGACTTCGGCGCAGGCTTCCCGGCGCACACGTCACACCGCAACTCATGAGCCGCAGCAATCAGCAAGTCGCCTCAAGCACACGCTTGGCCGCCGCCCGTACAGCCTTGGCACGGCTCACTCAGGTCATCCTCTGCCATGATCAAGCCCGGCATCGACCAAAGTTCCATCCTCATACTCGAATTTCGTGGCACGTGTATCTTCGAGATGCTCAAGAGGAATAGGTGCGCTGTTCTTTTCAGCCTTATATGATTGGACCCTAGTCATTTCTCTATTGGGCTCATTGAGCACCCATTTATCCTCTACTGCAAGTGCATCACCATCTGGCTGAGGATCGGCAGTAGTCTCATCTTGCTGTAGAGCAAGTCCAGACTCCTGCGCAGATTCTTCTTGTACATGATTGCTGTAATCACTAGCTTGCATGGGCTTCAAAGTTGAACAGGCCGAAGCCAATTGCCGAGTAGAATGCCCAGCTTTCGTTGCGCTGGCGTTGTCGCCCATCGTCAACTCATGGCCCGGGACCACGTAGATTGAACCTGCACATGTCAATGTCCACCGATCGGACACCTGGAAATTTGCGAAGAGCAACCATCGAAGGGAATTTACAAGCAGCAGAGGCCTTGGGGTTTTCGAGGACAAAGCGCCGACCGCCTCCAAGCTGCTCTCGGGCCTATCTAGCCGCAAATTTGACCAATGGCAAAGAACTCGCCTGTACCTGTGCCAGTTTGTCCTTTACTGCCGTCAGGTTTTGCAATGGAATGCAGGGACCACATGGCAAGGCGATTCCTCACCACCTGCATGGCGTTTTGTTGGTCGGCTCGACGAGTGCAGTCCCAGCCAGCTGCCAAATCCGCTGTGTGGCCACGAACGCGAGCAGCAGTGATCACAGGCCCGGCGCCGGAATACACCTTGGAGCACAACAGGGGAATCTCCGTCACAAATGCGTCATTCACGCCGCGCCGCCGATCTGCATAGAATTCGGCCTCCAAAGCCTTCTGCACATCTCGGCCAGCACCAGCTCAAAAGCAATCGATCACAACGACGTGTTGCTGCGCTTGCTGGATTAAAACTGGTTTTGGCTGGCCTTCACGGTACCACCATCCAAGCCTTGCCCTTCACGGAACGCCCAAGCACCCCAGGCCATTGTCTGGGTCCGTCACGATCACTGGCTCCCACTCTTCCGCGCTGGGCCCGCTGCGACCTGCATTTGGGCAACGCGCTCAGAATCTGGCACATGCGCCTTGATCATGGCCTGGTTGAATGCCTCCACAGCGCTAATGTCGAAGCATTCATGTTTTTGGCCCTGCGCGGGCCTCGATATGGAATCACGGAAAGCTTCATGTCCAGCAGCTCGTGCATGAGAGGCAGCCAACGCAGCACCAACACCACCCGAACTCTACCTTCAGGCTCTATGACAGGCTTGCCCTCAGTGATGCGAACCTGCTTGGCGGCTGGTTTTGGTCGCCCGAAGCCGGCTCCTGGCTTTGCTTTGCCCTTGGCCGCTGCACCTTCCCGGAAGATGGACCTTTGAATCCCTTTGCCCGAGCTTATCTCATAGAGAGCTTCAGCCGAGGCCTCGATCCCGGACTCCAAGGCCTCCACGGTGTACAGGGTCCACACCTTCCTCCGGCCTGGGCAATCTCTCTGCACCTCAGTCCTCCACAAGCGAGTGCTCATCAGCCGGTGTCTCGGCTCATCATCGGCATCCTCCTCAAGACCGCCATCGTCGACGTCGTCCTTTGCCACCTCGGCCACCTGAACCTGCCGTGGAAGAAGGCGTCGAGGCGCAGGACCTTGACCGGAAGCCGCCGCTGACGAAGGACTCGCTTGAAGACCGAGGGCGGTGTCGAAGCAGTAGCCGTGGATCCTGTAGACGAAGAGGTGCTGAACGTCCGCTTGATGGTCAGCTTGTGGCCCTGAGTCCGCTCGAGCTTGCGGCACAAGGGATCCTGCAGACGCAGACCACGAAAGAGCCGCAGAACCTCCGCCTCCATGACCCCGAAGCTCTCGCTGCCGGCAAGAGCGGTCTCGCGTCAAGGCCCAGCTTCAGTGAGCATCGTATATTGATCCTAATCAATAAAACGAGAGGAAATTATATTGATATATTACATTTCTGCTGATTAAATCAACTGTCTCATCGATCTTGATTCGTTGATGTTTTACTATGTTTTTTGCATGGTAACAAGCGATATTTCTATTGATTTGTACATTGATGTGTCTTTGAATTCCAAAACATATGTTCTGACGATATCTGACGAAGTTTGACAGAAACAAACACAGGTTTTTGTCAACTTTTGTCAAAATTGATCAAAAATTTGGTCAAATTTTGCTGGGCTCCGTATCGAATTAACGATTGATTTTTTTGGCTACGAGATGCTATGCTTCTTTAATTTCGAATGCCAAAAACGGAAGTTTTTCTATTGAAATGTGTATTGATTTTTAGTTTGACAAATCAGTTGTTTTATATTGAAAAAGTATGAACCCATACATCTGTAGACTTATTGATTAGGATCTACCACTGCCGAGGCGGTCTCGCGTTAGCGATCAAATTACTGATCCCCTCGTTGTTTGTTTATCTTCGAGTGGCGAAGCAGGGACATGGGAAGCTTCGAGCTCTTTAGGACCACGGCGAAGGGGTCCTCCACGCCCTTGGCGATGGTCTCCTTGGGTCTACCCGTAGAGCGCATTCCCCTTCGTAACAAACGGCTACATGGTGTGTCCAGCGCATAGTCGCATTTCCTAGATACAGAGGTTCTCAATGCCCGGGTAACTGCAGCTTGCCAAGTTAATTGGTCGTCTCTGCCGCATTGCAGTAGCTAATGACCTTTTCTTTGCCAGGCCGCGCGGAAGCTCTGCAGCTTGTCTTGGGCAAGGACGCGGGTATTTCCGAACCAGCGCCGGTCCGGCTGGATGCGCACAGGCTTCAGCGCCTGCTCCTTGCGGCGCTTCAAGTCCGGCTTGGAGTTGTAGAGCTGCAGTCGCTTGATGGTGCCTTTTGGAGAAGTCAGGTGAGCAAAAGCTAAAGCAAAAGCTAAAGCTTGAAAAGCTTAGGCCTTCAGAGCGCAGGTGGCTGCCCTGCTTCCGGACTCGGGTCTCGCCCTTGGGCCCCGTCCGCCCCGGCTTTGCCGAAGCATTCGAGTGCTTCAGCGCCGAGCCTCGATGAAGCGCGTCAACAGCCAAACAGCAGAAAGCTTCAATTGCCGAATTGCCGAATTGCAACTGCCGGTGCAATTGCCGAATTGCCGGTTCTGGGGCCCCGGACCCGGCCGAAGTGCCCCCTGGCCTTTTTTCTGGCCACGGTTCGCGGCGCCGGCCTTGGGACCCTTTGATAACTTACCCTTCTTCGCCATCTCCTAACTCCTTGAGCAAGCAACAAATCTCCTGCCAACGAAGAACCCCAAGAAAATGAAGCGGCAAAGCAAGGCATCTGCGTTTCTTTTTTGGGGAACCCAGGCTCCGCGTTGCTCGGCAAGTTGCCGGCAGCTCAGCGGAAAAGGGGGGCGGAGATGAATTAGCGGCTCCTGGAGCCACGAATTGAGTGAGATAATCTTCTCAGCGACGCCGGTTCCCTTGCCAAATTTGCCAATGCATTCCACTGTGACTCAGGAGCAGGATGTTCAGAGGCCCTTGCCCAGAGAGGCGCGGTACTCGTCCGTGCCTGCTCAGTTCGAACTTCAGTGGCCTTCGTTGCTCGTAGCAATAAAAAGCCTGCATCCTCAGGGCGGAGGTGCAGGTCACGGTCGGTGCCTGAAAGAGCCAAGCCACAAAGCCATTGCCACAACGCTGCATCGGCAAAGCTCAACAGCAAGGGCACCGAAGGGCACGGCAGGCCGCTCGGAAAACACCAGCGCTCCACCTGGTTTTGACCCAGACCTCCCATCTACACAGCACAGACTCCAAACTCCAAACGGTATCAGGGGAACAAGGGTTCCAGAAACCCGCCCAACTGTTAAGCAGAAATCCTTGAAATCGAGAACCCCTACAATGTCAAGCTGTGTGAGCAATTTCAGAGTTGCTTCTAATAAAGCGCCTAAACTAGCTTGAACAAGTCTAAACTAGAGCGCTGAGTTGATCTGAGCGCCCCAGGCGCCCCCACTGACATCGCAGGAGCGGCCGAAGGGTGCCGACTCGGAAGCGGAAGGGCTGCGGCCGTAAAGGCGCCTCGAGTGGAATCTTGGTGAGAGCACTTCTAAGGGATTGTGACTTCGCCTGCCAGGCCGATCGTTCACCTCAGCCGGGGCCTGTCATTTTGCATCTAAACAGCTAATCTAAACAGTGCTGCAGTCACCCTCCACGCCTGCCACGCCTGCGGCCATTGTAGAAAGGCAGTCTGACCTCCACAGGCCCCAAAAGCGAAGCGAAGCAGTGGCACATGTGGCACATGTGGCACATGTTGCAAAAGGCACCCGGGCATCAAACTTTCTTTGGGAGCAAAGCCCCGTCGCCGGCTTGAGGCACGCTCCTGTGGGGCAACGCTCTTCAAAGTCTGACCTCACAGTTTTCCCTCTCTCCTCAGAGTGGTTGGGTGGCTGGTTCCATCCCAAAATGTCGCCGTGACCTGCGGCATAAGCCACATGCAGTCGACATGCAGTCGACATAAAGGCTTCTTCTACTACATGCAGCTGTGAGATGAAGCTTTTCGCCTTGGGCGCGCTGTGAACGCGGCCCTAAGTAAGAGCTTCACAGCCCTCGAGCCCTCGAGCCCACTGCCCTGACTGTTGACGTTGAATCCGAAGAAGTTTGGGTTTCGCACTTCGGCTGGCGCTCGATGCCGCATCGAGGCCAATCTCAGGCTCCATCACGGCGTAAGGGGGCTGCACCGGCTGCACCTTGCCGGGTCCCCTCCCCACTCGAGCATGAACATGCATGAGCCGCAGTTTCTAATTTAAGGCACCGGTTGCCGTGGCTGCAGAGGACCAGCAGCGTAGCCCAGCCTACTTAGAGTCTCTGATTTCCAGCATTGCTAATTGCTAGATATAGGGCTGCCACGAGCTTTCCGCCCAAGCACCGCCGGAAGCATAGGGAAGCGCTGAAAAGGCCGCCACTACGGAGGGGGGACCGGAGCCTGAGATTCAGCAGGATGGCTTCCTCCTCTTTCAGTATGCCAAGATGTTTGCTTCTCCCGGGAACTTTCTCGCGCGCGAAGATCACTTCTGGGCGTGGTGGCCCCTCAGCCGAGCTGTGCTCCTGCCTCTCTGCACAGATCTTGGCATCACTTAGCAACTTAGCACGTCGCCGCTGCGGTTACCGGAGGGCGTGGTCCTTGGCAAGTGATAGAGGGTGGACATACACGGAGGGGTCAGGATTTTCCTGCGTCAATTCTGCGGTTAAGCTTGGACCAACGGTGGGACCTTTGTTGAACCACCTGACTGGGATCAAATCCCGAAGGCTCAGCGACGGCACTGTGGTTTCGCTTGTCCACCCTTTGCAGGATAAAATGCTTTGTAGAATAAAACACCTAGCCGATGGAAGTTTGAGCTCTGAGCTTGGGGCTTTACCGCAGTTGTGCATGTTAACATACAATGTTACTGTAAACTCGTTTGCAGCATCAGCGTATCTTGAGTCTTCGCAGATCTTGGCTTCTCAAGCCGAGTTTGGAAAGGGGCTAAGATTTTCAAAACAAGATACCTCTGTCCCGCAGTGTGTGTGTGTGTGTGTCTATATATATGCGCGCGCACGTGCAACCGTGCAACCAGACACCGCGCTGTGCTCATTCAGCGCAATTGCTAGCTCTTGCGAATTGAGCCGCAGACGCTTCTGGGTCCTCCATGGCAGAGGTAGTGAGGCTTAGTGAGACTTAGTGGGGCGTAGTATGGTAAGCCAAAGTCGCCTGGCGCAGCAGAAGCCGCGCCAAGTCCTGGAAGCGTACCGAGCTGTCGGACCTTGTCAAGTTGGTTAACTGTTAACTCATCAAAATAAGGCCAAACTGAAGAAGAGACAAAGGGAGAAAGCTGAGTCAATCTTGAGAGGTCACTTGCTTGGCTTCCACAGCTCGCAGCGACTCGCAGCATTCGCAGCATTCGCAGCAGATCCGGGTAGAGATGCTTTTGGGCTGGGCTTTGAGGGCCAATGGTGTGTTGGCGTTTTGCGGCTTCGCGGCTCGTGGGTTCGGATCAACTTCTCCAGGTCGTAGGTCAAAGCCACACCGAAGCCTAAGCTGCAAAGCTGCAAAGCTGTGTAGGCTTCTCGAAGCCGGTTGTTCACGACACGTCACGACTAATGGTGTCCTTTCTGCAAATTGCATAGTTGCGGAGACGGAAAACGAAGGGATTGAAGTTGGATACCACCTTCTTTAGGGCTCTAAAAAAGACTTGTTTGTTACGGCCTTCATCGGAACAAGCGCAGTCTGCACAAAGCTTCCACACCCCTCGGAAGCAGAAACCCGCTGCTGAGGCTCCCACGCTGGAGCTGCGACCGGAAGGTGACCTCAAAGGAGAAAAAAGAAAAGAAAAGAAAAAAAGGAGGCTCTTCTTCTAGAGACTTGACGTGTCTCTTCTTCGGACCTCTGCCACACTCTGCCAAAGGCTTCCGAGCTGCTGCCGGAATATGGCCATCCACGAAATCGCAGACAGCCTTTGAAATGCTCAGCTTGTTGCACTTCCGCAAAAATTGATGTGAAGTCTTTGCCTGGCGAAGGGATGGAGGATTCGACCTCATGAACACAGGAAAGAACGGCTTGAAACAGCTCAAAACAGCAGGCAGCTGCCAGTTGGTGTCCGAGCACGGGGCAGCTCGTCGCAAAGACTGCAAAGATAAGATAACGGCAAATGTTAACGGACCCTTTCAAGATTCCGTCAGTCAGAGTCCATGCCTTGCGCTGGACGATGCACACGTTCCATGGAAGCGCCTTAAGGGGAAATCCAAAATTCTCAGAGATGTTCAGCGCTCAGCCTAAGAGTTGCTTGGCCGTCGCTTGGCCATCGCTTGGCCAGTGACAGTTCGGAAGCCACCACACTCATTGCACCGGCGCCTGGTGTCACTTGAGGCTCTGCAGGTCAGCTGCTTGTAATTGTAAGCCCTGTGCGACGATCGCCCAACACAACCTTGCGGAGAACAACCGGCGCATCATGCAGTAGACCAACACCCTGCGTTTCTCCTGTTTCTCCTGAGCCTGCCGCAGGAGGAGGCACCCCCAGCCTCCAGTGGTCAAACGGTGCAACCGGCCAAAAATGTTTTACTTTCAAAGCCGAGGTTCGCATTCCTGGCACGGCGACCGTCATTGGCATCGATCTGCAATGCATACATCAGCTTGCCTGAGACACATCGTGCAACATGGCCACACCAAGGGTTGACACTCTTTTCCAAGGAGCTGAAAGGCAAAGACCTGGCTGGTCCGTACCTCTAAGTTTTGAGAGGCGCCAAGAATCTCAGAAGCGGATCTCTCCAATTCTAATCAAACTGTCACCTGGGAACCTCATTGACACGGAAAATGTCAAATCGCAACTGAACCACGAGGTTCGAAAGCATTAGAATGAAAGCAAAACCCCATAAAGGTTTGCATGGATGGGGACACCAACATGAGCTGGTGTGATGGCCGCAACGATGTGGGCGGAGAACCAAGCCATTTGCTGCCAACTGGAGGTTGTGCTTGCATTTTGCCGGGCTCATTGGGAGAGGGTTCATCGTAGATTTGTCTTCGCAGAAGGACCCACGTGTTCTGCAACTGGGATGGCTTGGGTATGCTTGAATGAATTCGGAATGGCATTCCGGACCTGAACTCGCGCCAAACGCGTCCGGCAGTCCGAGGCGTGCAGGGCAATGACCTACCGGACCCGAAACTTGGCCACGTGGCATGACCGTAGACTTCGTCTGTTGCATCCAGCTGTTCATCGTCCTTAAAACACGGGACCTTACACAAGGAACAAAAGCGTTTACTGCCAAGACTAGTCCGTTCCTACTTCCCAAACAGAAACCTGCAGAGGTCTACTTTTTGTCACGAGTGGCAGAAGTCCTCTGTTCAAGTCTGCGGCTGAACAGGGACTGTGTGCTCAACCCCTGGGCAGGGAGCACAACAGCCAGAGCAGATGGGGTGGGCGAAAATCCAAGCCCAACAACCCATCAAGCAGCGAAGCAACAGGGGCAAAAGTCCACAGAAAGGCGGAGCAAGGGGATGGATGAAGGGAGCAGAAACTCCAATGCTGCGCTGCAGCCTAAATGCGGTGCAAAATGGTTGCAGAGTGCACCGCATTTCCGTTGCGTCTAGAGCAGAAACACACAGGAATAAACTCCAAATCGTTTACTGCTAAGACTAGTCCGTTCCGACTTCCCAAACAGAAGCCTGCAGAGGTCTCCTCTTGGTCACGAGTGGCAGAAGACAGGGGGACTGTGTGTTCAACCCCTGGGCAAGGAGCACAACTGCGAAAACAAACCCTTCTCTATTTTACTCGATCTGCAAAGGGCTGCATAGGTAACTATACATGTCTGACTCATGCACATGTCTAGGAAAGGTAAAATTTGCGCACCCTCCTTGAGGCAGGCATGTTCAGTCATCCCTCAGGTTCCAGCAGACTTTACAAAGCTGAAAAGCCTGAACTGTTCGGGATGCATTCAGACCCCTGCAAGTGGTATTAAGGTGGATCTTCTGTCCGTGGCGACTCACGTAGAGCCGCTTTCCACTCACCACCATACCATCAAGGATCACGTCTTGGTTTCTCTTGAAGAAACACTTACAGACGACAAAGTTACGAGACACACCAGGTTGCAAAGAAGCGAAGGAAACAGCACTAACGGCCAACGCTGAGCTAGGACTGGTGTCACCCAGGATTGCTGGAGGAAAGGCGCACGCCAACTCCATGAGATCTCAAGCCCTGTCCTGGCGCCCTTATCCCTAAGCATAGCTCCGTGGTACTGCCGCACGCTGAGGCTGCAAACTTGCTGCGGTTTCCACTTCTTAAAGCAAGGCGTTTTGTCTACCGCTCCAACACTTGTCATGTTAAGCTTGGAGATGTGTTTGTCCAACCCTTCCTTGGTCGAATTGACCAAACCCAATCTTTCAGCGCCTTCCATCATGTCATTTCCGGTCTTCAGGAAATTTGTCAAGATCTCAACAGGGTTGTGAATCCCACTGATTTTGTTGATGATCACTTGTTTGCTTGTGACCATTTCTTGAACATACAAATGTCCCACAGAGACGTGTCTCATTTTCCCCACTCCTAACCTCTTAGCAGCTTGGATGACGGCTGAGCTGTCGCACCAAACTCTTGGGACATCAACTTTCAACCCAAAGTCTTCTTGGCACACGCAAGTTCTTAATGAACACTGCACTCTTGCAGCACTGGGTCAGCGACCTGAGTTCGGCCTCACCTGAAGAGGTAGCTGGTGCTCCCTCCTGCGTCTTTGAGCAGGACTCCACCATCGTCCCACTGACAAACAGGCACTCCCCACTGGTAGACTTACGACTCTCCACGTCGCCGGCCCAGTCACTGTCACAGCAGCCCTGCACATAGACAGTGTCTTCCTCTGTGAACTCACTCAAGACCTTCGTCACATGTCCATAATCGACCGTACCCTTCAGGTAGCGGCCCAGCACCTTGAGATTCTGCATATCGCATACTCTGGGATCTCGGATCTGCTTCGCAAGCTCCTTCACGCTGAATTTTATATCTGCGCGGCCCTGACTCAAGTAGATAGCACTACCCACACAGCTTGCATAGTTCTCTTTCTCCTTGCCCACTAGAAGTTTGTCTTGGCTAAGGTCGAGCTTCCTACCTCCTGGCACAGGACTAGACTTGGCTTCCTGAAGTCCTAGCTTCTTCAAGATCTCATTTGTGTGTCGCGCATTGGGCTTCGTAACTACAGCATCCTCAAGATCGATGTTGGTCCTACCTAGGAACTCTGAGGTGGTCTCGTTGCCTGTCCCAAGATACTCAAGTTCTCCTGCCTTTAACTTAACTCCGTTCTTGGGCAACTGCACACACACCAAGTCATTCAGGTGTTGGTCAGGTCATGCAACGGGACTACTTGCGTCTTCTCACAGTAGTACACACAAGCGTCAAGCTTACCCCTACGAAAACTGTCCTATCCGGCAACTTAGTCAGCAGTATCTCTTCCAGCCGATCTCGATACTGTGCTGCGGTAGGCTGTCTCCCATAGCGGTTGCCATCCACCTGCCAAACGATAGAATTCTTTGGCACTCCCTCATGCGTCAACAGCCAAACGTCGTAGTTCTCAAACCACTCCGTCGGAGGCTTCATCATCACTGGTTGCCCTTGGTCGTCTCCACCATCCTTTGCAATACGGAATGCCGAGCTCAAGTCTGCCTTGACCCTTGGGAACCCCTTTACCATTGAGTACAACTCTAGGATCTTACGTGACGCAGCATGCGGTGTAGGGCAGAAGTTGTTCTGACCCTCACTGCTGTTCCTGTTGTCGTTCCCAGCTTTCTTCTTGAAATCTTGACATGTCAACCTAGACTTAGTCACCCCTTCAATTACCGTATCTACCCACTTGTGTCCAAACACTGTGAGCTCTTTAGGCAACTCCCGATGGTCTCGGGGGGGGTGAAAGCTCCAAAGACATCATTGAGCTTTCTCAGCTCCTCATTTCTTGCCTTCTTGAAGTCCTCTGGCATGGCACCCATTGAGTCCAGGCGGAGCCTGTCACAAAGGACAGCCAGCGTGACCAAAGGTCCACCACTTCGAACAGACCTGGCCTGCGCTGCAAGCACAGACCCAGAAGCAGGCAGACAGAAAACAGACCTCGCAGAGGCTGATGGAGCACCCGCGGCAGCCTGTGCGCCTATGCTTGGTCCAAGTGCTGCACCCAAGGCCCACCAGCTTTGCGCCGTTTGGCCTCGTTTTAGGCCCTCTTCCGGCTGCTTCTAAGGCACCAAAACGCAATATGGCCTCTGCCCTCTCTGCTGCCATGCACGCGTGTACTCAACAATTTCTGGCAGCTATAGCAGAGCTGAAACTGGCCTCTATGCTCTGGATTGATGCTTTGGATTGAAGTCAAAGATGCAAAGATATCTGGCTGCGTGGCGCCAATGGCGCGATTTCTGCGCAGCATCTTCTTCTGCCCCAGCCTCTCCATCCTTTGGGTCTCTCCCTGGCTGGCTGCTGCAAAACGCTTGTCATGGATGGCACGTGTGACGGGGCTGCCTGCACTGCATCAGGCCCTCAAACTTCCATTCCAAATAAGTTTGCCGCAGGCTGCCTTCCTTGCGCCATTTGGGGCTCCCTTAGATGGTCTGACGCCCTTTGGGTTGCCCCTGCTCTGCGCAGATCCAGTTGGATCGGGGTTGTTTACTCGTCATTGCCTCCAGGACCAAAACATCCAAGACGGGTATGTGTTGGGGAGCGTCAGCAAGTTCTCTTTCGCCCTGCGCGCGGGGCTGCCGTGCAACAGCTCGGCCCTGAATCGGCTTGTCGCGCTGTTCCTGCTGGCTGCACCCTCTGCCTTTGCAAGGCGTGTGCTGCGGTGTTTGCGCTTGACACTTCAGCCTGAGGAGCTGGTGGAAACTGCGACACAAACAAGCCCGATTGTTCTTTTGTATTGCTTGCTTGCGCTTTTTCTGACCCCTGAGCTGTTTGGCGCAGGTTTTCAGCTCATGGCGAAAGGGGGTGGGGGTTTTAACATATGTCTCTACATGGTTTTCCCTCTGCCACTTCATGCCTCGTATTGCAAGGTCAAAAAAGGAGGTGGTTCCAACATATGTCCACAATGTCTTGATGCAGGGCGGCTGAGGGGCGGGTGGTTCTAAGGCATGTCTCTACACGGTTTTCCCTCCGTCGCTCCATTCCTCTTATATTGCAATGTGAAAAAGGGCGCTGGTTTTAACATATGTGCAGAGCCTCTTGGAGGCGTTGATTTTGACACATGTCTTTACATGGCTTTCCCTTTGCCACTTCATGCTCGTAGGATTCAGGGTTCGGCATGCATAGTTTGTGCTCCGGTTTTAGGGATGTAGTCTCTGTCCAAAAACCATGTAAATTTACATCCTGCTTTGCACTGACTCTGGCCCGGTATAATTCCGGACTGGCCTTCCTGTTTCCTGATCCGGGGCCTGACTTCCCTTCATGATGAATGACTTCAATAGCGTCCATCCTGCCTTCGGGGTGGGAATCCCAAACTCCTCCGGAACAGTCTTCATGGTGTCAGACCTTGCAAGAAGCCCGACCCCGTCCTCGGCCGTGCCACACATAGAATACCCAAAGGTGGCTGTTTGATTGGAGCTGGCAGATTTATCCTTCTGACAGATAGCATATCGAAAACTCAAGTGCAGCGCTACGGCTGCTAAGCTGTAAGAGGTGCGTGAGCTGTATGTGCACGCGGCACGTGCAATCGTCAATGCAACAAGCTGGCAGTAAGGCACTCACACCACTTGTTGGTTGTAGGCGCCGGTCTCCAACTCTGCTCAAATCAGCGATAGCACTAGTGTAGACTTCAAATAGTTATGATCCCATTGCTTATGAATGGAGAGCTGCCTCAACAAATCAGGGAAGGCTGGGTGGGATGCAGCTGCGCGCCCAATTTGCAAACAAAATGATCCGCACCCTTACTGCAAACATGGTGATGACATGATGCTCTTGTATTGCTTGCAAAAATTTGGATTTGGGGGGGGAGGTGGCAGCGAGTCAGGGAGTGAGAAACAAAGCCCCAATGATGCTGATGATGCCGGCCGTTTCTGCCAGATGCGGTTCTCAAATTTGAAGGTTCTAGGCTGCCCATACCCTGAACGCACATACACGCAGCCCTTTACATTTGTCAGACCCCGGGCCATCTCTGTCAAACCTTTGAGGCGGCGCGTTGAAACCCGCAAAAAGCAAAAGTGAGAGTTTGGAGACGTGGCAAGTGAAGTGGCGCAGAGCGGGCAGGGCGCACATGACCAGCAGCCGGTCGAGCTCCTCTGGCAGGTGCAACACCCCGGCACCTCGTTAAAGCGAGAAAGAGACACGACCAAAAAGCAACAACTTCTCAGTCACTTCTCACTCTTCACACTTCACTCTTCCCTTCTCTTCTTCTTCTGCCAGCTCGCTCTTCCCTTCTTCGCTTGGCCACCGGCTTTGCAGCCCCTCTTTGAACTGGTCGTTCGAGATTCGCCCACGCTCCCAGAGCGAAAAAACCTCCCAAAACGTCCGCAAGCTTAAGGCGTAAAAAAGTGGCTCAGAGATCCTCCTCTTTAGCTGAGCTCTCAATTTGGGGCCTTCCGGATGTCCTCGGTTCGTGCCGCAAAGAAGCCATTTCTCTCCTCCGTCGGGGCCGGCGGAACGACCTCGCAACGAGAAAGTCTCACCTCGGCTTTGAAGGCCTTCCTCTCTCTCAACGTCTTAAGATTCTCTTCAGCTCACCTCGGCTGGGTAGAGAGTCTGCTTCAGGCTACCTGAGAAAAGCGATAGTCCAAGGGAAGCAGTGTATGCCTGGGATTTTCTTGGAAGCTTGGCTTTGCTTCGCCCGTGGAGGTTGCGGTGCAAGGAAGCTGCTGAGGTCCTGCCATTCGCGATTCCTGTTTCCTGAACACAGACACTTGCCTTCCACCTTATAGTGGACATAGCCATCATCGGTGACCTGGCAGTACTGAAGCAGATCATCCACCTCGACAAGGAGGCGAAGAAGGAATTTCACTCAGCTCTCGGAGAAAGAGAAAGCGTCCTTTCTTTTCCCCCAAACCCACCTCGGGCTGGCCGTAACGCAACCCGAGGCCAGCCAAAGCCTTCACAAACAAACGCCACTATCTCCAAGAAGAATCAAAACTACCTTCCTCTTTCCGTTCCTCTCCTCTCCCTCTACCTTTTTCTGAAGGGCGTTTCTCCTCCGCTTCTCACGTTCTTCCTTCCTGTCTCGCTCATTTGACCTCCCCGTGCCTTGGAGAAGTTGGCCGAGGTGATGAGCCCACGGTGGTAGGTGTCCACCTCTTCAAAAGTCTCTCTCAAACAAGCGTTTTCCGTTTTCCTCTCAAACTTTGGACTTCTTTTGATTGGGCTCATTCACGGGTTTTGCGTTTACCAAAAGCGGCGGCCTTCTGGAACTCGGCGCACACGGCCTGCAGCAGATATTCCCGGTCCCGGAGCAAGCGGCCCCGGTCAATCCTGCATAAAGAAACCACTTCCTCGTAGCATGATGCAACATGATGCAACGGGATGCAACGTGCTCCTGCTACCATTTGCCATTGCCTCTAGCGCAACTTAGTTTTCCCCGAAGCTTACGTGTTTCAAACACGAGTTCCACAAAAATCACACCAACCGCTTGTAGAAATACAAACGCCTACCGTCCCTTCTGCCAGCAGTGCTGTGCTTCAGGCCAAGCTCAGGTTGCCACGTTAAAGAGGCCAAGCTCTTGAGAACTATGTGCAACTTTCTGTGCAACTATGTGCAACTTTCTTCAGCATCTCTCAACAAACTAAAGCTCAAGAGCCGAAATAGATATGGACAGTGGATGCCTCTCCGCCGCAAGGCTCAACACCAAGTTCTGCAAGCTCCACTTCTATTTCCATTTCTCTTCCCCTCCAATGCGCGGAGGCTTGAATTTTGCAAGCCTTTGGGACTTCTGCCCTTGGTCGCAGAGGGTGCATTTTCGCGTTAGCATTAGCCCAGCTGCGTGAGCTGCGTGAGACGCAGAGACGCAGAGAGGGAAGGCTCAGGCTCACTGCCGGCCCCCTTTTCCGCTGTTGCCGCTGTGCATCAGCTCCTCAGGGGACGAAAGGAGGGAGCTGCAGCTGGGGGAGGGGCCGAACGCGTTGGAGCCTTGATGCCGTCTGGGGCCTGGCTGAACTCATGTCTCCCGTAGAGCCAGTCCAAGCCTTCTCCAGACCCAACAATGGCTTCTTTCAAAACACTCGCCATCTAAGCAGCGTACCGTAGTAGTACAGCAGGGAGTCGGTGGCCATGTCGAAGACAGTCATGAAGCACCTAACTCCCCAGGATGCACCACAGCACATCACGTGCCACGCGGCATCTTTGTGAGGCGTGTTTGTGTCATTCGTTCTCTCAAAGCCGAAAAGCAGGGAGACAGCGCCGCCGATGAAACCAGCGGCCACAGCCACTGCCACAGGCTGATCCACAAACAGCCTCGAAAAACCCGCTACCCGCCGCATCCCGAGCATGGCAAGCTGCGGCATCCTTTACGGTCCCGGCGGGGCATCCGGTGCTGAGAAGGAAGGCGTGGTAGTCAGGAAGAAGGTCAAAGCTGCGCAGCCTCGAAAGAGCTGAGGTCAAGATCTGAGCTGAGCTTTTGCGCTTTCGCTTTCACACATTTTGCCAGGGCGCTAAGCACGCTGAAGAGCGCACCGAACAGTGTGAAGACCTGCAAAAGGAACAGAGAAAAACGGCATGGACCTGCAGCCGGCAGAGGGTTTCGGCCATGGTGGCCCCGTTCAACACGGCCATGGCCACAGGCAACCTGAAAGCACAGCGAAGAAAGCAGCGCGTCTCTAAAGACCTGCTCTTTGAGAGGTGAGAGGTGTGTTAAGAGGTGTCTTGAGGTGAGGTGTGGTGAGTGGTGCTGAGAAGTGCTGAGGGCGCCGGCTGCGCGATGACCGACACCGCCTCCCTGCAAAGATGCGGAGTGCTTAAAGATCTTTTCTTCGTGTCTTCTTCGTGTCTTGGTGCTTTCAAGCGTGGTGTCTGCCAGGCCTGGCAGAGGCGCAATAGTTTTGGGACTTCATAGCCATGTCCACGTACGCCTTGCATTCAGCACTCAGCTCGTGCACACATGAACGTGGATGCCGCCATGCTGAGGCAGGGCGCATTCTTGTTCAGGAACTCCACGATGTTCCGGAAGCAGTCCAGGCAGCATTGCATGCACTTAGTATAGCAGAAGCACAAAGCTGCACAAAGCTGTGTCAAGCGACGGTCAGAACTAGCATCTTGGGCCCCCAACTTTCAACATACCTCATCAGCGAAAGTCATGTGCCAAATCTCAGGCTTTTCACATGCCTTCGCATGATGGCGGAAGGAGGGCAGGGCAAGAAACAGGTCAGACCAAAAGGTACATCTGGCGCTCTTCTCGAATTGGGTCCAAGCTCGGGCAAAGTACCAGGGTGTTATCTCAGAATGACCTCTTCTTGGAAAACCCAGATTCCTTTCGCGCACACATGCGCACACCATCGCGAACTTTCGTGGGAGCACATTTGAAGCAGAAACCAATCATCGCACAAGCTATGTCGTCCTCCATGGCTCGCAAGGCTAGGTGCGTGACGGTGCGTGCTTGGCCTTCGCGAACTTTTGCGGAGTTTCTGCGGATCTTTGCCGAGACTGAACACGTATTTCACAAGCGTTTTGCTTTTTGGTAGATACCTTCATCAGAATACTGGCGGGCAAATGCATTTAACCGCCTGTAATGAAGGATAGCTTACGATGATTCTTTCACGAAATCCTAGATTCCTTTCGCGAACACCATCGCGAACTTTCGCGGAAGGCCTTCCGCGCCAGCCCGTGGTCGTTTCAGATAACACCCTCCACAAGGGGTGTTCGGACAACCCCCTAATAAGGCCAAATCACCCTACCGCATTGAAGCCCAACGTCCTGTGGGCAATCCAAACCTCTGCCATCAGTGCTGTGATGGATCCCACATCAAAGCAAAGATCTCTAAGCATATTAATTTGCAACAAGAAAGGCGCATCTCAGGCTCAATACTCAAATGCTCACGGCGTGAAAATTGTGCACGACGGCAATGTCACACAAAACCTTGCTTTTGCCTACAAACCCTGCAAAACAAAACGTTGAGCATGCACTGCTTTATGGACAGAAGTATGGAAGTGCAGACAAAGTGAGCATGTGACACCCCTGTTTCCTCGGGTCTCAGACAAGAACATGATCTGTTGAGAAGTGTTTTCAAAATACACAGTCGCTCTTACCAGTTACAGGTTCAGGCGGTCGGCTACCTTTTTTGAGAAACCTTTTTTCAAGAAGACAGCTCGACACAGATAAGCCTGGTCAGCCAGAGCTGGCGTGGCATTCCCAAACCCTTCTCCTGCCCTCCCCGTCCAATCCCAATATCGCTCAATGTGAGCTCCCACCCCAACACTCACCCGCCCCACCACCCCCCTTGACCTTGGCAAACTTCAACTTACTTTCGCCGAGCTTAGCTTGCTGGCTAGTGAGCTCCTTTCAAAGCCCATAGCGAAGTGCGCTTTTTTCAGCCGAGCCCCGGACAGTCCACCAGTGCATTGTTGCCCTCCCCCTTCCAGGCTTTCAACACACAGAAACACACAAACGCCACCATAGGTCACCGCACGTCGTCGTATGTCATGTTGAGTGCAGCAGTCTCTGTGCCTTGTTCGAAGCATCCATGACAGCCACCAGCATCTGCAGGGCCTTGGGGCTTCAACGAGCTGCAGCAGCTGCCGCTGCTGGAGAAAGAGTGCCGGACCCAGAAGATGGTGACAAGGAAGGAGCCCATGGCCAACGATCCACCATGTTGAATGAGTCCAACCTGAGAAGAGTTCCTTTAAATCAGAACATGCTCCGTGAGTTAGCAGAAGAGCCGTCCTGGAGGCCATCAAAGAGGGCACAGCAGCCTCCACCAATCACCTGCCACCCAAATGCCGCGGCTCTCACATGCCCTCGCTCTTGCTCTCGTGGCCTTGCCACCCTCGTTGTCCTTTGGGGAAAGGTGGTACTCTGCCTGAGAAACGAGGCTCAGCAACGCAAGCGGAAAGCATGGAAAAGCAGCGAACCATAGCGTAGGCGATGATGAACTGGAACCTTATGGATTTGATTGGCAGGAAGACAAACAAGTTGATCGGTCTTGTGGGTCTCAAGCAGGGCATTCAGCCAACACTCCACCCAAATCGCCACGAACCTGGGGCTGATGCAAAGCAAACGGTGTGGAGCAACTCCCGTATCCTCAGCCCTCCGCGCGTAAGCGATAAGAGCAGCCTTCTGCTCGCTTGTAAATTGAAAGTGTCGAGCCACCTGCACATTTCCCAGCTGCCAAGCATCTATCTTCCGTCTCTTTTAGGTCCCAGCTCCCTCCATCTGATTGCTCACGGCATCTCAGAGCTGCACAGCTTTAGCGCTTGCTAACACAACCAAGCAGCAGCGGAAAGGGCGCTGGCTGTAAACCAGCCCACCCTCCACAGGTTTCGAGACCTGTGCCGTTGACCTGAGTGTTGATGGCAGGCAATTCCCGTTTGCTTTTGCCACATCACAGGCTCTGGCAACAGCGCGAAGAAACCGTAGAGCAGGCAGCCAAAGACAAGAGCGCGGCACAGCGCCTGCACCAGGAGGGAAAAACGGCAAAACCAATTTTGCCTAAGCTTGGCTCCAGTGGCCTGGCTTCACCCAAGACAGTGTGAAGGATCGTGTGGAAATGCATGATGCTTGCGAGGCTTTTAAGCAGAATGTTGTCAGATTGATTTTTTTGGTTGAAAGTCGGCACGTTGGGAAATATCAAGAAATCTGTTTTGAGCGAGAGGCCAGGCCCGGCCAGGCGGGTGAATCCTTTGCGTCGCAGAGCTTTGTTCACACGCAGATTTACTTCGCGAAATTTCTGGTTTCTGTGAAGTCATTCTTTACTAGAGCCCTGACATGTGAGCCGAGTCTTGTGCGAAGCCAATGATGCGAAAGCTTCACAGAACAACTAGGTGGTGTATTTTTGACATGGGTGAAAAAGCTTCAGATGTATACATAAATACATATGTTTTACAATGACAGCGGAAATAGACATGTGAATAAAATGATACTTGATGTACGTGTAAACAAAGCAATCCTACGTAACAACAATGACAAAATGAGAAGGCGCCTTGTTGACAATGATGATGATAATAAGAATACGCTAGAACGAAGAATAATGGTAGTCTCTCTGACACTGGAACGTGCTGCAAGAACAGTGTAACCACAAAGTTCACAAAGAAAGGCGGGCGCCCATTTTCCCTGCGCAAGCGGAGTCTAAAGGCTCAGCGGCCGTCCTTGGGGGTTAGTGAATCAAAAAGTAGTGGGGAACCGCGCGTAGCTGCTCGAATCAGTGCGTTTCACACTGGTATTTGGCTCACGAACCTCTATAAGCTGAGCTCTTGGATCTTGCATCCATTCGCCTAGCTGCATCATCAGTTGAACATCAAGCTTGGTGAGTCCATCAGCGTGCATCAGTGAGGTTGGAACCCAATGCACCTTTTTTGGACTAACAGTCTCCTGAACAGGCAATGTTGATCAAGCGACGCTTGTCCGTGACGTTGGGATTATCCTGGATCAAACAATCGAAGAGACTCTTAACGTCCACGGCGTGGAGGTTGTTCAGCTTGCAGCCAATCCGGTGGGCAGGCTTTCCATATAGGAGTTCGCGACATATTGGAGAATGCCGCACGGTCTGCCCCCTCGTCCGCCGCTGAGGCCTCTGCGGACAGGGTGCTCCGGCACACGCGAGTGGAGCGCGCAGTCTTCCAGTCGATGACAGTTGCCTTTGATGTGACTTCTGATATTTGAGGTGGAACATAAAGCACCAACACACCGTACTGGGACTTAACGTCGAGGTTGTTGGCCCAGCTGGAGTCGGTGTAGGTCAAGACAGTAGTCGTCATCCCTTTGGGTATGTTCTGGTAGCGCAGCCCATAGTTGTTGGTCAACTTGAGGTAGTCGACGGCCTCGTAAAGGCGCCTCAAGTCGTGGAAGGAAATCAACTGGCCCCGATTGGATAAGCTAACGACTGGTCCAATCTCTGGCCGCGTCTGCGAAGCGACCTGCGGCGGCTCCAAACACGAGGAGCACTGGGGAGTCCATACCCGCTTCCACGGACCTCGTACAGATCGGCCGCGAACGTGCCGGTCTCAAGCACCAACGGGTCACACGGTGCCTTCATGAAAAGCGGTCCAGCTCGCTCTTCACGGTTCTGCTCGCCCTGCAAGAAAGCACTCTTGGCGTCTGAGATCCACAAACTCCACTTGCCCTTCTCATCGTTCATCTCGACGTTAGCTCCAGCCTGGCTTTTGACAAAACCAGAAACTCGAGCGCCTTGAAGGAGTAGGAGAGTCACGGGAGAGATGGAAGAGGTCCGGATCGCAGCATCCAATGAGGTACCCTGCATGATCTGAATTGCCTGATTTGTCAACGGGTCCCTGCCTCGTCTGGATGGCCTTCAGGCCCTCGGTCCTTGTTTCCTCTCTGTCGGAGCGCCCTGCGATCCTCCTATTTCCTAGACCCTGCTAGCGGAAGTTAAACCCTCCTTCCAGCCCACTGAGCCTGGAAAGGCATCGGAATGTCAGCTGATCACCTGTTCAATTCACACTCACTAAAAATTCTCCTTTAAAGAAATAAGTGATCTTTGCTCAGCTGACAGGTTTTGCCTGGATGGAGAGAGAGACGCGTAACTCCGGTCCAGAGCTCCGGAAGCTTCTGTCCCTACCCATTCGTCAGCTTTAACAACCTTGACTCCTGACGACAAATCCTACGCCTTTTTTTCCTCTGCGAAAGCTCCGCTGCTGGGGAACCATCAGCACCAGCCATAGGGGAGGTGGATGGAAAAGATGAAGGAATCCTATAAAAAGGGAAAACACCTAGGGAAAGGGAAGACACGCACTAGAACAATTGAGGTGATAGGCTGGCAT